TTTAGGTGTAAATATATGGGTATTTAACATCGTGCAAGATTAACTTCTACATACAGTATAACTATATTTGATAGGCATCGACAAAAACAAAGTTTCTTCCCTTGTCATGAATCTAGCCTTGTGCAAAAGCATCCCAATAGGACCCTTTGTCATTCGTGAGCAGTGTATCCTCCCTTATCCAACATCTTCCTTATCACCCAAGTCTCCTCCTTTCAAGAGTTCGCTTTTTTGCTGTCTTTGCTACCGTTGCATCATCCTCAAGCGCTGTTTCGAGCGCAAGCTGCGCAATTCTTCCTTGTGTCAAGTCTTCCTCTCATCAGGTCAGGCTCTCCTTCATTGGAAGAGTGTGCTTCTCAGTTGTAGCCTCACATTTCATGTAAGTGTCCCGTTTTGTCTAGATTATATAAAGATACCATAATCTATCCAAACTTCTTCCTCATTGAAAGGTCTCATCACTTGAGAAGTCCACTTCCCCAAGAATCGGCTTCTTCCTTTCTGGATACAACACATCGAATTTGATATCATACATTTGTACGGGGTCAATCATTGTAAGAATATCAATATCTTATTAGTATACGGTAACCTGTCTTATCATTAAAATACTTGTTTGTTATTTTATTCAATTATATAAGTCAAGTGTTATTGCGTGCCCATTTGAAACACATGCCATCACTCATAGAAGTTGCATTGTTGAAAAAGCACCGCACCTTATTCGGGAACCTCCTCACTTATATAATCCTCTTCCTTTGTCCAACCCTTTCAATCGAAGAGTTTGTCCATCTAAGAAAAAGAGTTTGCGTTTGAAGGTCTCCTTTTTTATAAGGATCCCACCCTTAACACGGTTTCTCTATATGAAATCCACCGGAAAACCTCGCCCGTTGTAATCAAACACCTGCCTTCAAAAGTTAGAGGAATGCTTGCAATGGTGTTTTGTGGTTCTTCTTAGTCCTGAACCACAATTCTTCTTGGAATGAAACTATCGTAGTTGAATCGTTTGTTGATGGACAATCCTTGCAATATGTTGTAAGAGTATCATTATCATGTTTCATGACATGTATCCTGTTTATACAAACATAGTGGCAAAGCAGCCTTCCTGTTTGTAAGTCCTACCCTACTCCTCCGTTATATAGACTCCAAACAGGTGTTTCCAGCTGTCATTCCTACATTGCTTTGGTTCTGACTATACATGATATCCTCAAGATTAATGATTATATATTATGGTTACATAATATATTATTGTAAATCACACTCGCAACACGCCCTTCTCTTACTCATATTGCAAAGATTTAGTTTCCTTACTCGTTTGTCAAGAAACGTGGTAATGTCTGTCTATGTTTTCCATTCTTTTCGCAGTCTTTTAGTCTTGTCCAGGCCTCTGCGGGCCACACCTTAGCAGTGGACTGGTGGACTTTGGGAATCCTCACTTATGAGCTCATGTGCGGGACGCTTGGCTCACTTGGGACGCGATTGGGCCATCGGCGTGGGTGGAACGCAGCTTTCCGTCATTGGCCATCGGGGTTTTGGTACGGGAATCGGGATCTTTGGGTTTTGGTACGCACCAAACTTATGGATTGTTCTGAATGACTGTTGTTGACTTGGCCAAGAACCCACCCTTCGAGTCAGATCAGCCCATGCAGACCTACCAGAAGGCCAGCAGCTCCCTCGCAAGGGAGTCCAGAAGTCATAGTAGCCCAATTTCGGAGGTCAGTCGGATTCCTCCTACTGAATCCTGACCAGTCAGTGTTCACGAAAGTGCTCCTCAGAGTCCCCCTTGGTGCAAGGTGAAGCGTGGGATAGACAAGGCTGGGAGATGTGCAAAGTCGAGTCAAGTAGCTTTCGGCTCTCCGCAGCTGCCGAAGCACGAGACAAAAAGAGATTTGAACAGCAGCACAGCAGTTTCGGGATTCTGGAGAGAGGGAAACATTCAGGTGCTTGGACCCTCCAATTAAGGATCTTTTAAGGGACCCTGGGACCCTTTTTCAAAGGGGGGCATTTGAGACACTTTTGGCTCTGGAAGTGATTCTCACTTCTCACACTGGCATAAACTCAAATGTGTAGATTTGATGATCATTGATGCTTTTGTGGACAGCAGGTGCTCTTTCCACCAAAGTGCCGAGGCTTGGGGGTTGCGTAATTGTCCATCCCAGAGGAGATCACGCGACATATCAATACATATCAAACATAGTCAAAAGTGATCAAGGCTAAAGTAAACTACAGTATATAAGTTTTTTAATGAGACGGAAGTTCTGCGATTTTGCAAACTTGCCAACCACCTACCTGCTGGAGGATGCATCCTTTCTATTCTCTTGACGGCTCAAAGCGGGCCGGTACTTTCTGAAAGAAACATAGAGCATGTTTGAGCAGGATGAAACAGCTGGCCGCTAGTGATGGTGAGTTTGGGGCGTTTGAAGGAGCTGGAGAACATTCCACGTTCTGGGAACCATCGTGGGGACGACATCCCTGAGCACATCCACTTGTGGAGGTGCTGCAGAGGACTTGGTCAAAAAGCTTTGCAGGCAAGACCCATCTCAGCGGCTTCCCATGAAGATGCCCAGCCTGCAAGAAGTGAATGTCTCCAGCGATCCTGATGGAATCAGCCCCCAAGCCAATGTCATAATGTTTTACAAGCAATGGTGAATGTCCACTTTTTCTGTTCCGAGGACAGGACAGGTGAAGAATTGGAATTGGGTAGGATCAGCTTTCCAGTATTTTCCCCATAGGTGCGAGCAGAATTTCCACTTTGGCCGCAGCTGAGGAGCGGAGGGATAACGAAGATCAAAGAACACAGTTGGTACGAGGCTGTTGGGCATACAAACGTGCTGAAGCCATGGTGTTCTTTGCTTCACAGCTTATTTTTTGTGTGAGGATGTTGGATTTGGGATCGTTTGCACCGAAAGCGAGAGCCAAAAGTTGGACAGTGTTGGTTGATACTGCAATAATCACAATACATGTTTGATAAGTTTGGACTTTTGAGAACAGACATTGGGCCTGAGTCACATAATAAGCAAAGAAGACCCAAAAGAGATGCAAGGCTAACTAGAAGATCCTAGAAGTGCACGGAAAGAGAAGTAGACCAGACCAAACAAGGTGATTTCTTTATGAACACATGACATGGCTGTGTGCATCACTGCAGAAGATGATTGGAGCAGACAAGATCATGAAAGCAGGCAAACTCGAATCATGACCGAGTCTCTCAAAGCTCTCAAAAGGGTCTACTAGTAACAAAGGCATCGCTAGTAGTAGCTTCTTGCTACTAGTAGCGATGCCCTTGTTACTAGCAGCTTCTTGCTACTAGTAGTAATGCACGTGTTACTAGTAGCGATGCACTTGTTCCTAGTAGCGAAAAGGGTCTCTCAAAAGACCGATGACCGAGCTTTGAGACGGAGGTCCCAGTTCCGCGCATGTTTCTTGACATGCCATTCGTTTGCACAGGGCTTCAACTGGGAAGACTTCGAAGCCTTGAAAATGGAGACACCGTACCAGCCAGCAGCAACATGGCAACAAAGACGAGACAGGAAACAGGTTCGATTTCGCCTGCAAATCTCTTGAATATGTCTAGAAGACAACTTCAATCAACTTCAGACAGTGAAGAATCTTTGTTGTTGTGTGAAGTCAATTCCAAACTGTTTCGACTCGGTTCCTTGCTTTGGCTATGGAGGCCACGAGGTCCGCCCTGATGGCCAGGTGAAAAGCAAGACGGACATCGCTAACTTTTCTGCAAGAGATGCTGACCGACCGCCGCAGGCGTTGATACAAACGAATGGTGAAGGATGGTACTGATGGCCTCCAACCTACTAGCGTGAAGGATGATCCTGCAATCAAAGCAAATTACGGATGGGGTGAGCTGGGCGTCATGAATTACTATCCATCAGTACCACGGAGATTTGTCAATCTGTTGGAATCATGATACTGTAGCATATTGTGATTGTCATATGTCTGTGGAATCTTAATATTAGTATATCTTAGTGAATCTGTTCACTGTTCAATGAACCCTCCGACGTGGAACACTCACGCACTGATAGCCACTTTTGCCCTCCCTTTGCAGGTGCCATACAAGGACCCGATGAGCTTCCGTAAATAGCGGTGTTTTTCTTGTTTGTGAAGGAGTTTCCACTGCTTTTAGATTCAGATGCTTTTAAGCTATTCTGGTGTGCCATTTGTTGCAATGAAGAGTGTTTAAAACACAGTTGGAATAGACAGCCTCCCCTTTTGTCTCCCAAAAACTGGACCTGGCCAGGACGACAAATCGGGTTGGGACAAAGGCTTCGCAACCAGCGAGTGATGGCTGAGAGCTTTGAGAGAGGCAGCATTTGGAACAATCAAAAGTTGGAACAGGTTTCTGCACCAAGCTTTTGACAGGTCTTCAACTTAGAAGCGAGGGCCTCCAACCTAATAGCTTTTGACAGGTATCCACCTTCGCTGACAAAGAACGTTCAATGTTTCTTTGCTAGTACTTCTTTCGCTCAGACCGCCGCCAAAGGTACAGCTTGCATATGTTTGCGTTGCCTGGGTGGTGTTACTGAACTGGATGGAGCAGCCAAAATGTAACCGCACATGTGCCACCGAATCGATGTTACAACTTACAACGACCAAGTCGCAGGCGGCCTTTGCTGATAGAACTGCTGTTGGTCCAGTCTTTGGTGGTGAGTTGATGTTGTTTCAGTATCGTGCTTGCTTTGGTGAGACTGAATTCTTATATAAAACATGGATCAAATTATGGCACTCCAACCAATGTACAGTAGGATAATGCTCCTGCTCTTTGACCACCAAGTGGTTCAAGGTGCGTTGGACCCTCAAGATCCATCGGGTCTAAAAAAGGTACTTCCTGATCATTCCTGCCTTTTGTGCAATTTCTTGTCCATCAAACCAGAATGACATAGTGAAATGCAAAATTGAAACATGACATATGTTCAGCTTGGATTGGAATGGCATCCTATCGCATTATTCAATGATCATTTTTTGTACTTGATTCATTATATGTATGTGTTTATTTTTTGCAGGAGAATTTCGCACCTTCATTGAATGGCTTCGACGAAGATATTTAAAGAATTCAAAAAAAAAAATATATTTCTATATATTTCTATGAAATAGAAAATTGTTATTGTTATTAATATTATTAACTATAAATATAAATTAATATATATATATATGATAATATAATATAAGATAACAATACATATATAAATATGAAAATATAATTTATAAATAATTATGGAAAATATTATATATAATATTTATTAATTATATAACAATGAATATTGAAATAATAAATTAAAATATAGAATTATATATATATGGATATTATAATTTTTAAATATCATTTTTAGATTAAGAAATGCGTAGTCGTTTATGAGGATTAGGTAATTTATTATTTGGTGGTATTTTTATCGGTTTTGAAATATAATTTTATGGATTATTATTTTTGTTGCGTTTATTTTATTGAAATTGGTTGATTTGGAAAATCCGATTTTAATTTCGAGAGATATGATGGTAGATATTATATTATTTGATAATATATAAATTCATGGTATAAAGAAAATTATTCTTTTTAGATTTTCTATTTGTACCTTCTAAAGCCTTAACGATGGTTGGTGAAGTTTGGCTACGGTTATATGATATAATTTGTTCGAATTCGTAATCGAGGATTTTATTACATACAGAGGCAATTTTTTTAAATTGTTCTATTTTATATCTTCTTGAAGCTGGAAAGGACGAAATAAGATGTGCTACGATAGATCGCACAAACTACCATCCATGGATGTTATGGTTTTCGAACCGAACTGAAGATGTTATATTGATATAAGAATTTGGCTGGCAGATGAATAAATAATGGATTACATATAAATGATATTATATGCATTCTTATGATGCATCAATTAGCTTACTGCTGATGGTTAAGAGGAAATTCTTTCGGCCATCCTTGTTGGCATATACAATTTTGATTCCAAATCATTTGATTTACCTAAGATTTATGCTGAGCCGCATCCATGATGGGTTTGCTGTCTATTAAATTGCTTGGAATATCACCAAATCCTTGATTGGTTTGCTCAAAATGAGGTAGGATCTATGGCACCGGTTGGGGGTTGGGACAGGGCATTTCGCACACGCCTAGAAGTCACATGTTGGTCATTGCAGGAAATTTCAATTGTTCCCTTGCAATTTGAGAGAATTCATATTGGCAATCATGATCCTCGGTTTGCTGCTGCTTTACAAATTGACAAACAAACATTCCAACAACTTGTTGTTGATTTGGATCAGATTGCGGTTCATTATAGAAATAAATATACCCCGATCTTTCTCCATGATACCCATCGATCTAGGATTGATTTCATCTTTTTGAGGGCTTTTCAGCTTCAATGGAGACATCTCCAACCAATTGTTGATTGTCATTTTGAACGCATTGGCCTTCATCAAGGCGCCTAGCATCGACCCTTGCTGCTAGGGTTGCCTCGTTGGCACGCAGTTCGAAAGCCTCCCTGCAACCACAAATCTCTCGACCGCCATCGTATGCGCCAGGAAATGATCCATGGTACACCACGTTGGATTGCTTTTGCAGAAGATATCCATAGTTGTGTCCTCAGACATCAGAACCAGATACAGGAGGATCCCCTAAGTAATTGTTTTTCCATGGAAGCGGACATTCGTGAGCTTTGTATTGTTCATTTCCCGGGCAGCAAATCCACCCAACAGAAAGACCACACTACCCGTTCACTCACTGCCCAAATGTGGTATGCTAAACGACAACTTCGCATGATGTGTCTTGTGACTGTCAAAATCATGTTTCATTGCTGGCACAATAGCACAGTGTTTGAACGTCTCCATAAACAGATTCGTAAGCTTGGTCGACGCAACAAAAAGATGAAATTGGATGCTTTTCTCAAAGACAATGTCACCAATGCACTGACCAACAGGATGCATGATTGGTATCGCAACATTCGTAAGCTGTGCCCTAAGCAGCCGTATCGGAAGATTCAGATATTTGATGAATATGGAGCTCCACTCATGCCCCATCAAGAACTCAGATCATTGGTGCATCACTTTCGCACGCTCTTCATTGATGACACTTTTGAATTACAACCAAGTGCTTTGACTGCACTGCCGTTCACTCAGGCCGACTTGGAAGCAGGTCTTGAGCCCCTGCCAGTGACCCGGGCCTTGGGACCGGACGGATTCCCGGCGCTTGTTTGGAAATACTTTGCATCGGATATTGCCACAGTGGTCTATCCAGCCATTCACCAGGCTTGGGTATTGCAACAGGGCATTCCTCCTGAAGGTTGGTCCACTCGATGGTTGCATTTGCTTAGTAAACCCCACAAGACCCCGAATAATCCGACGGCACTGCGTCCCATATGTCTTCAGCACCCTATTAATAGAGTCACGACTGGTTTACACTGCACACAGATTATGAAGGCCGCTTTCCCCAGACTCAGATCTGTACCCCTGTATGCATACCTACCAGATCGTGGCACCAAGGATTGCTTGTTGATTGTCTCTGACCACTGTCGGGAGGTTAAGTCCCTGTGTCAAAAGCATCACAGAGACTCTGCGGCCAACGGCTTATGGGGTGGGATTCAAGTGTCCCTTGACCTGGAGAAGTATTCGATGCCATTGATCGTCAGCTGGTCATTCGTGCCCTTACACTTTATGACCTTGACCCTGATCTTCGTAAGCTAGTCCACTCCTGGCTTCAAAAACATCAATATTGCATCCCACACAACGAGCTTCTTGGCATATTCACTGCATCGCGTGGTATCAAGCAGGGGTCCAAAGATGCCCCAATGCTATGGACCTTGAGCATATACTTGGTCATTCACGACCTCTTGGCCCATCATGACATGTCTTGTATTGTCTCACACATTATCATCTATGCTGATGACATTCATCTGAGATGGACCATCCATAGCCTGTCCATGAGATTTGAATGTCTACATGAATTGGCCTTTGTCCTGTCCACGCTCAAGGCATATCACTTTCGAATGAACTTGACCAAAAGTGTTACCATCATGCGCCTTGTGGGAAAGTCCACTCAGAAAAGATGGACGACAAGATCAAAAGAAGGGCCCAGGTTGACTTTGCCTGATACGAACATGACATTGCCTCTAGTTGGTAAAACAGACTATTTAGGCATTGTCTTGAGCTACCGAGCATTCGATCATGACACGGTTCAGCGTTGCATCCATGCAGCCAATGTCTGTTCTCGGATTTTGAGGAAGTGGCTCTTAGATCGACATCATCCGTTTCATGTCAGGATTCGACTCTACAATCATTGTGTTCTGCCAACAGTGTCGTACGGAATACATGAAATTGGTATCACTAGGCGGAGATTTTAGAGCATTACTGGCATGATTCATAAACTTCACCGAACCATGGCCAGATCTCCAGTGCATCTCACTAGGGAGCCAACTATGGCGTTTTACGCCCGTATGCAATTGGAACCTCCATGGCACTTCCTTGACAGACAACAGAAACATTTGATTGAGTCCTTCCAATCCCGCCGGGCCACTCTGATGAGTGACGTCACGCGGACTGATCCCATGGACGTTTGTGTCTACAGGACAGCATCGTGCCTATTGCTGCCAGACCTTCTTTGAGAATGCATCTCCGCAACAAATCCATACCGTGTTTGCTCCTGGACAAGCCGTTGATCAGTGAGCTGGCGCGCCACTGTGCCTACTGCCATCAGGCACTTCCGGCTCGATCGATTCGCAAGCATTATGGTGAACAACATCAGGGTCTTCTTGCTTTCGAAGCGGTCCACAGGGATATTGTTTATGGTTTAGCAAACCTGGGTAGCGGTCGTGGCACCTCATTTTTAGTGAGCAGAAGAGCAATGACATTCGTCAGCACCAATGTGGCGTGCTACTGCAGATCAGCACGTTGTTGGGCCAAACATACGATGCATCGCACTTTCCGATCATGCCCACCATGATTCGTCCCTGGAATCCGGACTCCGAAGCCGTGGACACAGGTGGCCAAGATCCACCCCAGCCGACTCCGGGGTCTTCCGAGACCTTGCACCACATGCCCCTAACTTCGAGCTTGCTGATTCGACCGCTGCACCAAAGCCAACTCCATTGTTTCGATGTCAAGCCTGCCATACCACATTCCTGACCGAAACAGGATTGATTGCACACCATGGCAAATTTCCTCAGCGTGGCTCCGATGAACGCTCTGAGGTTTCTGGTGTTCTTCCTTCGACCCGTCCGGAGCACAGAATTCCCAGAATCACGGTGAAGCACATGCTTGCCTGTCGACCAGACGGTCCATGTCCAATTCCGGCTCGGATGTACACCTGTCCCTTGTGCAAAGAATCTGTCGGCCGGAAAGCCTTGGTTAGCCATTTGCGCAAGTTTAATGATGTTCACCGCCCTGATGGTTTTCCATTTGAGCCACAAGTCGATGTGCATCCGCGGCACTTAGCATGCAAACATTACCATGCCTCCTTTTCCATGGAAATTGCTCTACGCACCCATTTCCAACGAACATCTTGTCCTGTCCTCTTGCGCACCTGGACAAGCCATCAGCATTTCGGTGAGCCATTTGATCCGTCCTGCCCCCAGGCTATGAAGTCCATGGTTCCCTTCGATCCTGAAGCCAAGTTGAAATGGTTCCATGATTCGCTGACTTAGATTGCACACCACCCGGACATGCCGCTGTCCAACCTGCCGCAGGATTCTGTCTTCAGTTTCCTGGCCAATCTCCATGAGCTGCGCCCTCTGTCTTGGGCCTGGGCGAGGAGATGCACGCAGACGATCAGAGCTGTTGGAGGCCTGCAGTCAGCACACAGGCAATCAGGGCAAAAGACCACGCACGGTGACATCCAATGGCCAGAACAGACCTGGCCGGGGTTCAATGCCTCGATCCTCGCCCTCTTGGGCCTCAATGTCGAGCGGTGGCAACGACGAGCCACTGAATATGGTTGCCAGACTGTCTCTCAGGCAGGGCTCAATTGGGATTGGACAAGAGCTACTTGTTCTTCCTCCAGTACGGCCGCGGAAGCATCATGCCCAGCATGTTGGCCAAGGCCAGGGATTGGAATGCCCTC